ATCAGAACGAGAGTGAAGTGGTGGCATGACTCATGAGCATGCAAGCAATAATTCATAGACTATCACCTCTGAAGAAATCGCTGAGTAAAGACCTTACTGAGCAATGATCTAAAGTATTAGAGTCAGGTGGGAAGATTCTAGAAGAAAAACTGCAAGTTCTGCTCCAAAGAGTCTTCCCCACATGGTAAACGAACATCATGGAAATATAAGTTTCTGTTCCCTCAAACTTACAAGAGCACTTGTGGATAAACTGGAAAACGCTGAGATATTTCTCTGCAAAAGGTGCCTTATAACTTTAAGATTTCATAATTTTCTTCCCTATGATGGACAGCCAATGCTGGTTATTGTACAGAAATTTAAAATTAAAACAAAAGTCAGGTCTGTGTAGGATGAGCATAACTTAATCTGAATCAGCATCATAAAACTTGGTGGAATTCTGGTAGGAGAAGACTAAAGTAGAATAATTTCTTTAATGTTTTTCTTAGTTTTCAAATGATTAATTTACATGTACCCTGAGCAGATCATTCCAGTTGGACACATCAATGAACACTCTCACATGCATATTAGGCACTGCTAGTGATAGCACTGCTTTTTCTGACACAGAGCAGCGTGGAAGGTGAAAGAGTCCCGTTATTCTCAGGGCCTGAGAGAAGGTTATCAATAGGGACAGTAGACAGAAAGGGACAGGGATCAAAAGAAAGACAGGCAGTAGCCTGAAAAATACTTCATTAAATTTCTAAGTCCTCCAGCCATCTAGTTTAGCTCCTTCTGCAACTGTTGAATCAGCCTCTAATCTCAAAGTAAGAAAGTTTTGCTATTCACATTGCAATCTCCTAAAGCCTTAAGAAAGAGCTGCTGCAGTTGATCTATCTATTACTATCCAAATTTTTTCAAATAAAATTTTTTTATGAATATGCTACAGGTCTAATGAGAAAAAAATATCTTGAGAAGCAGAAAGAAGAGTATTTCAATGTCAAAATCTTGAAAGGAATAAAATAAGAAAAAAATTTGCTATAAGCAGCACTTAAGGAATCTGCACACTAAGAGAAAATGGTGGCAGTTGGGGGTGAGGAAGGATTTCCTTTTCCTTCTCTGACCAGTCTCACAAAACTTGATTTTTCTGTTTGCTTTATATTTTTCAGAATCATGATTTCAGATTTGGCTACAAAATAAGCCCCTTGCATTGTGACACATCGGCCACATTCTGCTCTCTGCCTGAGCAGAGTTCTGAATGAAAATGGTATTATTGATATCACCATTAGTAATAATAATAAAATTATCCACACCCAACTCACATGATCCGACCAAGAGCAGCCTCTGTATATGAATGAGTCAAAACATCAAATTTTTTTTGTTGTAAATGCATAGATGTTCACCAGATGAGAAAATTATTACAGCAAGGAAAAACAGTTAACAAAGAAAATTAAATGTGCCAACAAATTCAATATATTACTTCAAAATTTACAGTTCAAAGAATGAAAGTCTGATGAGGAAAAATCAGTACTGGTGAGTCAACACTCCAAAGTGACCCTGTGATTGAAAGGCTGCAAGCTTCTTTGAAAACGTCTCCCACAGATGTTGACCTGCACTGAGATGAAAGATGGTTTGTGGATTATCAAGAGGGCTTTTCCATGGCTACACCCTATGGATACTTACAAATGAGGGACCACTCAGTATGATTGTTAATGGTTTTCAGTTTTTGATTACTGAGATCCAGACTGAACTCACCAACCATTTGCTAACCACAGAGAAAGGATGCTTCTTCCTAACATAGTGACCTCAAAGCCTACCCACAGAAATCATCAGTCTGCCTTCACCCCAAAGTAAAATTCTGCTTTACAAAACAGACAAACTGCTCCTTCTAATGCAGTCATAAAAAAACTGCTTGATAACTGGGGAGTGGAGTAAAGATAAAAAGGGGAATTAATAAAATGCCATACTTGAAAAAAATTATAGCTAAAGGCAGGACTTGGCAATCTCAAAGCACTACTAAAATGTTACCTATTAGGGAAACCACAACACACTACTAAGAGAAAACATGTCTTTTTACATTTGGAAAATTTGTCTAATCCTGAACTCTAATTCCTACATGGTCTGCCTTGGGCCCCAATTTTCAAAAATAAATCTTTACCATATTATTGTGCTGCTCATTGAGATGTAAGGGACTCTATTTCTGTCAAGGGGGCCAGCAGTCAATTAAGTTCAGTCTTTGATCTCTGCAAGACGACAGCTCCATAAAATACCATCAGGGTTGCAAATAAGCTCCATCATTTTTTTATTATTCCTTCTGCTCAAAACACATTCAAAATTAAGTAAAACTAGGACCACCTTGGGCTTCTGTCTTACTCTTTGCAGAAACATTATTGATATATATGAACACAGTTACTGGAGAAATTACTATTTTTAAAAAATTCCCTCTACCTAATTAACTGATGTGCACAAACATAGTTACACAATTGGAAAATGAAGGAACCCAACAGGTTTTTGGAAGCCTCTAGAATTTTGGGACTTAAAGTTAGCACACAACATATGCAATATACAGAAAGAAGAAGCTCGGGTTTGGACTTAAAAATAACACATTGGCTTTCACTAAATTGTGTTCCTAAAAAGTTAGAGAAAGAAATAGTAAGAAAATATTTCAACTTTTAGGGTAGAACTGGTTGAGTCCTGATTAAATTGATTAATTTTTAATAAACTTACTCAAAGATTTTCTGTATCCTAGACATAGAAATTGTCAACCCACATGACAGAAACATCAGTTTCCCCCTTTACTAGACTTTTCATACCTAGTTCAGCAATCACAAATCAGGAAAGATGAAATAATTTTGTACTTTTTTGGAGTACCGCCAAATTCTCACTAGTTTAACAATGTTAAGGAAGAATTAAGCTATGTTGATCTTCCTGATAGAGAAGTGTTTTCCATTAAGACTTAGAATAATATCACCGTGCTTGCTACAAACCTGATTGAAAGAACTTTTTGCTCTCTATAGCTTCTTGCTAGAAATTTAGGCTATATTTTTGAAGACACATATTCCTAAGCAAACTAGTTTCCTCTCTGCAAATTGAGGATAGGACATGCGGAAGATGGAAGTTTCCAGGGATTGGGTTTAGCATCATGGTAGGTCAAGAAACACCTTAGATATTTCATCCCAGATTAGAAGAGGGATTTCATTCTAGAGACCACCATAGGAAAAAAAATTAAACCTATGGTGTAAATCTGTTATCACAGAATGAAGACCTTTTATACCCCAGTATAACCCATCACAAAATAAATACTCTAAATTCACTGGAAAAAGCTTTGGTGATATTAAAAGGACTCTGAAAATCCTGTGTCCCAAACCATAAAAATCTGATAGAAGGTGAAGCCTAAGAAGAAGTTATTTCTCCGACATCAGGAAAATACTATTTTATGAAATCATATCCTCTTCCTTTCTTTTCTAACACTATGGTATCAGAACAGAAGCACAAATTAAAGGAGGAAAATTGTTAGATTTTAAGTTAGCAAACAAGTATGTTAACGCACACAAATTTTGAAGAAGTCATAGATAAAAGAAAATAACTAGGGAAACACAGAATAATATACAAGTCTATGTGGTTCTCAGAACCTGACCAATGACCTGAGTAATTCACCAGTAAATATTCTCTCTCACCAGATAAATGAATATGCTAACTTCCTGAGAAAAAAATCTTTTTTTTTTTGGTACCTGGGATCGAACTCACGTCCTTGCTCTTTGCAAGGCAGGCAGTGGAACCACTGAGCTAAATCCCTGGCCCTGAGAAAAAAAATCTTCAACATGGTCTCCAAGAAACTAAAAAACTGCAGTAGAAAGAATTTTTAATAAGCAAGATGAAACTGCTGGCTACTTTCCTCATGCCCTAATTAAAACTCTGGGGCAAGACTGTGGCTCATAGGTCACATGCAATTCTTACTCAATTTGTTATCACCAACAACTCATGATTTTAACATGTAAGGATGTCCTTAAAATGAAGATATATAATGAAGTGCCTCACTCCTTCCTGCCCGCTACAGATTTCTGAGCACACTAGAGTAGCCAGAAATACAATTTTTTCTCAAACAGTTTTATAAATCACATTCAAATCTGACCAAATTTTCATTAAAGAACATTCTCCTTCTTGTGGATCTGATGCAAACCTTAAATAGAGAACTGTGGATCTGTTATAATTCACAGCTAGAAAAAACTCTTTGCAAGAGAAAAACAAACCCAAGCAACGGCTTTCAACTTAGTCAACCAATGATGAAAAAGTTGTGGTGGCAAAGCTTGCCCAGTATTTAGCAAGAAATTTGCTCCCCTACCTGCTCTAAATGTGCCTGGTTGGATTCTGCCCACTGACCTCTGGCCCTGGATGGAAAATATCCTCAGTTGCTTCCAAGGAAGAAATATCACTCCCTAATGCAGGAGCCCTCAGCAGCCAGTGGCTAACTACTTTCCCTAACCTGGAATTCTTTTCTATCACTTTAGAGGAGAAGGGCTAAGACCGCCCAAGCCTGTCTTTTGACTAGTATTTTGACAAGACTAGCTATGATCTGAAAGATGAGCAATAACAGGCCCAAAGAGGAGAAATTGCCCATATTTGTGATCGAGGTCCTAGGACTTCGAGGTGGGAAGGTAAAAAAATAAGTGGAGAGCTTACAGGCTTCATCTCTGAAAGTGATCCGTGCAATCAAGTTTGGAGCTCGTGGGACCCGGAGTAACAGAAGGTAGAGAGGATTTTAGGCTGCTGGGGCAGTTGGAAGGCCACGAACTAGCACCCAGGGCAAGCAGCAAGGACTTGGAACCCTCTGGTTAAAATGTTGGCAGTCCAAGAGTCCCACGAAAGGCTTCAGATTTAGGGCAGCTTTTCCTATAAACAGGGCTGGGATCTCTGACTCAGTCTAAATGTTTGCTCCAGGAAGAGTGGCTAGATAGGAGAGATCCAAGAACGCAGAGCAACTCGGTGCCCTGGGCCTAAAGGCTACATTTCTGGAAAAAGAAACTTACCGCATGTCTCCATAAGGTCCGGAGTAGCTCTCCATCCAGGGTCCCATCTCACTTTTGACACAACTGGGACTGGGATAGGGCATTCTACTGGTCACACCACCAGGGTGCCACACATCATGTGGAGGGAAATCGCCTTCCTGGCCTGCCAGCCCCTGAGGTGGCCGAGCATAGCCATAGGGGGCTACAGCCCCTGCTTCGCCTGCGCTGCCTCCGTCACCCCCTCGACAGGGTCCATACAACTGGCCTTCTTCGGCTGTGAAAAGAGAGTGCCAGGAAGATGCGGCAGCGGCTGAGGGCGACCCAGAGCTGGGTCTGGCGGAACCCCCACCATGCAGGCTTGCCAGGTCTCCATAGCGGCATTGTGCTGCCGAGGCAGCCCAGGCACTGCCATAGTCCAGCGGGTTCTCCAGCTTGATGCGTGCTTGAGGATGGGAAGGCAGTGGTAGGGGTGGAGGCCCGGCCAGGGTCAGAGGAAAGTTGTAGTAGTCGCGACTCTGGTATGCTGCTGCCTCGTCCAGTGCTCCAGATTTGTAGAGCGAAAGACTGGAGGGCAGTTCAAGTGTCCCAGAGCTCCCCGCTTCGCTGCTGCCAGAGCAGACCAGGCTTTCACTGTCAGGTCCTTTGGTGTAACCTCCCTTGAAAGAAGAATATTCAACTGTCTCTTCAGTGCCCTTGCCTGGGCTGTCGTCCAGAAGAGGATCTTTGCATTCAGCCAGAGGGGCACAGTGAGTGGGTCGCACAGCAGGTGGACATCCCAGGAGCGGTGCATACATGCAGTCTCCCCGAAGCTGTTCCCCAGGACTGAGATGCTCCAATGCCTCCACACCTAAGCCCATGGACACAGACACTGCCTTACACAACTCCTTGGCGCTGTCAGATATGGTTGAATTGACCCCTAGGTAACTGTCCTTGGAAGAAGTGGCAGCCCCAACTGCCTCTCTTGCTAGCCCGCTGCTGCTGCTTTCTGAGGCCACTTCCAGCTGCTGCTGCTGCTGTCGCGGCTGTGGCTGCTGCTGAAGGAGTTGCATGGTACCGGCTTCGCTCAGGATGTCTTTAAGGTCTGCGGAGCAGCTGCTTAAGCTGGAGAAAGTGGGGCCCAGCAGGGACAACGTGGATGGGGCAGCTGAGTCATCCTCGTCCGTAGGTGCTTGCAGCTGCCGCGGCAGCCCCTTCCTGGCGGTCACAGAGGTTCCAGGCTCTGAGAGACAGCCCCTCTCGGAGTGGCCCTCAGGGGTTGATTGCTGTTGTAAAGGCTGCTGTTCCTCCTCCAGGGCCAGGTAGCTTGTGGGGCCTCTGAGGTGAGCTTGGGGAGAGCCATTCTCACCCTGCTGAGGCTGCTGGGGGCTGGTCTGCTGCTGCTGCTGCAAATGGGAGCCGGGAGGGGCTGCGTTATCGGCCTCAGGGTGCAGGGGTCCCGGGGTCTGTATCACTTCTCGAACGCTCTGGAACAAATTCTGAAAAGCTCCTCTAAAGGTCTTGGACGGCGGCCGAGGATAGACCCTCCCCAGCCCTAACTGCACCTCCATCCTTGAGCTTGGCTGAATCTTTGATCCAATTTCCTTACCCGGTCTCTTCTTTTCTTGCTCAGAAGAGTTCAACAGGCTGTGATGATGCAGTAGTCGCCGCAGCTAGTTGCCCACCTGCGGAAAGCTCCAGGAAAGAAAACTTGCGGGGGCAAAACCAAACCAAACCAAACCAAACCAAACCAAACCAAAACAAAACAAAAACAAAAGAACCAAAAGAAGCAAAAAGGGCTCTGACAGCCTGCAAGTCGCATGCAGAGGAAGACAGGAGAGAACTGGGCAGGATCAGCCCTGCCAGGCTTTCAATCTGCCCCTGAATACTTAAAGAGTAGATTCAAAAGACGTTCAAAAATTTGGGGAGAGGGTCCTCTGTTTTCCAAATTCAATGTCCAGTGAAGCAGGTGTAAATAATAATTGGGATATTTTCTTTTGGTTTTGTTTTGGATTTTTTTGTTTTGTTTTGCCTAAGACTACTGAAGCCCTGACAGTCTTTTCATCTTTTGATTTCTGGCTCCGCACTCTTGAGTGGGGGTTGGGGGAGGTAGGAGGAGGTCTAGGGAGTGTAGGGAACCAAGGGGCACTCCCTGCGTGCTGCTTAACAAGCCAGGTCCTGGCTACAGCGCTGAAGTCAAAGCCGCTCCCTAGTCTCCAGGCTCCCAAGCCTTCTTTGCAACGTGCAGCTAGCTCACCCGCTCTCACCCTAAGGGAGTTACCTCTCTGTAAACTGGCTGGCAGCACCGTGCAGACTGGGGGTGAAGGAGAGAGGTGGGGGTTGACGGAGAGTAGCGGGCCTAGGCAGTTGTAGGAGAGGAGACGGGGTGGGGTGGAGGGGGGGAGGACAAAGGCAGCGGTCAGTCCTACCGGGCACTTTCCTGGCTTCCTCCTAGTCTCTAGCAGCTTTTAGAAACTTCACCGAAAAGGAAAGGGCAGCTCCGGGGCGGCAGCTTCGAAGCCACCGCGCTGCAACAGGCTTTGGCAGCAGTCACAGCCCAGCAGGGGCTGGCGCGGTGCGTTCCTTCGGCTCCTGTTTGCCACCAGAGCGGCTAGCTCAACCTTTTTCCCTTGCCTCCTCCGCTTTCAGGCTAGCTCCGGACCCTCTGGTTCTCCTAGCAGGCTGGCTCCCAGGGATTTCTGAGGGGTTGCTGGGAGGTGAAGAGCAAATGCAACAGTTTGCAAGTCAGTCCCGCCCCCGCCAGGCGGGCCTCCTAGCCTTCCCACCTCCTTTCTCCCTCCCCTCCACTTTCCTTTTCTCCCCTCCCCTCACCGCAAGCTAGCAATGTGTGGCTTTGGAGAAACAAGTGCTGGTTTTGTGTGGATGAGGGCCAGAGAGGCTCTCTCTAGCCCTAGGAGACCCCTGCTCCTCAATACCCCTGACTTTCCTGTACTACATTTTAGGCAGCAGGGCAGAAGCTTTAACCTGGAGCTTTATTTTAAGGACAGGACTACCAGATGTTCGGAAAACCGCACTCACCAGATTTGATTTCCCAAGGCCTTTCCCAAAACAGAGGCTTGGGGAGGGAGCAGGTTGGAGTGCTGATTAATTAATGTCTGCCAGGAGTTCTTTCAGGGCCTATAGGGTCCTGTACACTAGAAAGTCTCCAACGTAACATATTAAGAAACAAGCTATAGCCATGCTAGCAGACACTTAGTAAAACCTTTGAGATTCCTCCAAAGAGAAAGGTTGGACCTGGAGACAAGATGCCATTTGCTCTAGAAACCCTCAGACCCAGGAAGCAGAGTTCATTTCTCCTCTGTTCTCTGTCCCCTTTCCTTTCTGGAATGGCCTCTAAACTGCATTTCTCACCTATGCAAACTTGCAAAGACAAACTCACCCAGACAAGCAGGCAAACACACAAACACCAGAAACACTTGCCCTGTACACATGCATACTTGGTTTTATCCAGACCATTGAAAACATTTACTTGCATTACAAGCTAGTGAATTTCTAGGCTGTTTGCATATTTTAAGTTTTCTAAGGGCCCAATCCAAGGAATACAACCTATTTTTGGCTGCTTTGTGGAGAAGTTCCCACAATTCCTGTGTAAAGACAAAGAGACAAAGTGAGAATGGAAAGGTAGAGGAGATGGAGGGTAGACTTGGAAGCAAGATGTCCTACTATGAAAGCTCTGGGCCTCCCTACCTCTTAAATTCCTTAGATCTCTGCATCTGCACAGGGTCTCTATGTCCCAAATGACACACTGAGATTTTCTCCTGAGACTCTTCCCACATTTTACAGAAGAAAACAGATTATAGTTTTGTGTATTATAGCACAGCAAAACATCATGGATATTTACTAACCTTGACCCAAGGAGGTAACTCAAACCTAGAAGCAAAAAAGAGTGAATATGATCAACTCTGTTTTCCAGATGAATAAGCTAAAGGAAGGATATAATTTGTTCCTGTGTTCCACATTAGTAAAACTTAAACCAGTCTTCTTCCTCATTGCTTTATTAGTTGGACTCCTCAATTTCATGGGCACCTGGGAAATGGCTATAAATGAACCTTTTAGAAAACAAAGGCCTGAGGAGGACCTTTTCACTTAGAGGAGCTGAAATTTCATCTGCTAAGATATTTAATGGCTGTAGCCCTACCTGGGCATATCTCAATCATACCTTCTTTTTTGGTGAGGTATCTCACAGATGACTTATTATGCTAAAGAAGCAGTCTTATAAGATTTATAAGATATTTTGAAAATAAGTCTTAGCCAGGCATGGAGGTACACAGCTGTAACACTCTGGGAGGCTGAGGCAACAGAATCACAATTTGAGTCAGGCCTGGGCAACTTAATGACTTAGTGAGAACTTGTCTCAAAAAGGGCTGGGACAGGGCCTGGGATTAGCACAGTGGTTCCACCGCCTGCCTCGAAAGCACAAGGTCCTGAGTTTGATCTCTGATACAAAAAAAAAAATTAAAAAATTAAAATAAAAGGCCTGGGAATGTAGCTTGGTACAAAGGTCATGAGTTCAATCCGTAATATCACAAAGTAAATAAATAAAATAAATTAAGGTGGGAAATAATTCTCTAAGGTTACCCTTTGAATAAATGGCAGCCCAAGAGACATTCTAATCCAGATTAGAAAAATTCTAAAGTGTATGTTGCCTCCACAGGACCAAAATTGTCATCATAGTTTCAAAAAATTGTAGTTAATTGTAATTTCTCTCAGAAAGATGATATAAAATTAAAGAGTTATGTGTCTAGAAGAAATTTGTAAATAGGAAAGCATTCTAAAAATCTGAAGAATCATTCTTTTTAAAGTGGAACAAACTATCAACAATTATATCAGTATCAGGAAAGCTAACTACTGTGAGCATAGTAGGGGTATTTATTTATTTATTTTAGCACTGGGGGTTGGACCTAGGATTTTTGCACTGAGCTATATCCCCCACCCTTTTGAAAAATTTTGAGACATGGTCTCACTGCCACTAAGTTGGCCATGTTGGGCTTTAACTTGTGATCCTCCTGCCTCAGCCTCCAAGAGTGTGGGGATTACAGGTGTGTACCAGCAACCTCAGCCTTTATTTGAATTTTAAACTCTGACCCCACCATCTCAAATCTTATTTTCCTCACATTGTTGGTAAGATAAAGAGACAGCTATTGAAGGATATTACACAAGTTCCAAATATATACCAGATTTCGTCTTTCTTCTTTTCTTTCTCCTCTTATTCTGTGCAAACTTTTTTTAGCAGTACCAGTGGTATCTTCTCAAATCAATCTAGTTGTGACTAAATTTCTGTTATGGGCTTTCTCTGCAACTTCAAGCAGATTTTGTTAGTGGAATATTCTCCTTTTTCTCTGAAAAAACCAGAATGAACTGATCTTTGGAAAATGTTGGACATTTTTCAAGTTCTGTGAATTTTATTTTCCAAATACATCACAAATCTGGTTACTTCTCTTTATGTCTGCTACTTCTGAACTCATTCAAGCCATTTCTTGTCCTTTAAAACCACTATAAATGGTCTCCCTGCTTCTATTCTTACCTTATCACAGTGGTTTGTATATTTAGCAATCAGAAATATGTTTTTAAACAACCCTATTAAGGTATAATTGACATGTAATAAACTCCATATATTTAAAGTACAAATTGCTAGATATTTGGAAATTATTAATAATGTACACACATGAAATTATCACACAATTAAGACAGTGAACAAAGGTGTTCATCATTTTAAAAGTTTCTTCTGTTTTTCTTCCCTTCACCCTGCCCCCTCAGGCAAACTATGATCTTTCTATCAATATAGATGAGTTTTCATTTCCTAGAATTTTATATAAATAGAATCATTATCTGTCTTTATCTTTCACTGACCATAATGTCTATGAAATCTATCCAAGTTGTTATGTGTATCACTACATAGTTCTTTTTCTGTATTGTTAAATAGTATGCCATTTTGTTGCTAGACTACAATTTTGTTTATTCACTCACTTGTTGAAAGACACTTGGATTCTCTATGGTTTGAGCTTACTACAAATAAAGATACTATGAAGATTCATACCAAAGTCAGACATGTACTTTCATTTCTCTGAGGTAAATAAATACTTAACAGTGGAATGGATGAGTCACAGGATAGGTGTATATACACCTTTTTAAGAAATGGTCAAACTGTTCTGAAGTGGTCATACCAGTTTACATTTCTACCCACATATGAGAATTCCTGTTCTTCTACATCTTCATCAACATTTGGTATGGTCAATATTTTTAATGATAGCATTCTCATTAGATGGCTAAATATTTCTCATTTAATTTGCATTTATCCAGTGAATAACAATATAGGACATTTTAGGTCCTTATTTTTCATTTGTATATTTTCTTACAATAAGATTCTGCACAAATTTTTACCTGTTTTTAAAAGTTGGTCAGCTTCTATTTTATTATGAAAACTTTTAGAATAATTTATATCCTCAGAAAACAAGCTATAACAGAAATAAGATTTAATAGGGGCTGGGGATTTAGCTCAGTGGTTCTGCTGCCTCCTTTGCAAGCGCAAGGTCCTGAGTTCGATCCCTGGTACCAAAACAAAGATTTAACAATTTCTTTCTTTTTTTTTAATCCATGTCCCACCAGTGTCTTTAAAGAGCAAACATTTTTAATTCTGATGAAGTCCAGTGCATCAATTTGTTCACTTATGTATTATACTTTTGATACTTGATCTAAGAAATATTTTGTTAACCCAAGATGACAAAGATATATCTATTTTTTTCTTCTAGAATAAATATTAATTTTCAGTTTTACATCTAGGTGTATAATCCATTTTGAGTTGGTTTTTGTATACAGAGATTGAGTTTTCTATCTAGAATACTTTCAGCACTGTGTGTCTAAAATACTATTCTTTCTCCACATAGTCCCTTTTGGACCTTTGTCAATTATCAGTTGTCAGTGCATATTTGTGTACAGAGTTGTTTTTAGAAAATCAAATCTGATCATATCATTCCCCGACTTGAATCCTGTCACTGGATTCCCATTACTCTTAGTACAAAAGTCCAAAATTTTAACCACACCCTACATTATTTGGTTTTTCTCCACCTCTCTGATCTCATCTCTACCACTTTTCTTCCTGCTTTCTGAGCTTCACTCACATTGGCCTTTATTCAATTCCTTAAATGCTTCCAGTTTTTCCTGCCTCTGCATATGCTATTCCTTCGATTTGAAATGCTACTTCATTCTTCTCTCCATTTATCTGGTTAATGTCTAGATATTTTGGCAGTTCCAAGAAGACTTCCTGAACCTCTTAAGCTAGCTCAAGTCCCTTCCCCTTAACTTTTGATATATTTTAACACCCAGTGTTTCTCCTCCAGAAGATTTATCACAATGTTTTCTCTTCACTGGACTGTAAGTTTCCTGGGAGCAAGGACTGACTTTTTTTTTCATTATTGAATTCTTGGGAATCATCCTGGCATGGTACAGGTTCAGTGAGTAATAAAAGTCTGTGTAATAAACAATTGGATTTTATTTCCACAGAATTAAACTTCTATTTCCAAACTAGAAGTTGTTTTTGGGGATTTGCAAAAATTTTTGTGGTTTCAGCTTGATAAGAAATATAATAAACTTTTTTTTCAACTTACAAACAAAGAAGAGAACTCCTTCAGTTCATGCTTTGAATGAATATTTTTAAGTACTTGG